TAAATCTAATTATGTTGTCTCGGTCAAATAGATTTGATATGTAAGTACATTGAAATGACGATATATTTAATTTAAATATTGTTGCAATCGAAGAATTAGACACCTATTAAAATCATATACGTCTACGAGTTTCCAAATTTCTTTTTTCAAACTATATGAGAAATTTACACGTTCAATATAATTTTCGGTAATATTTTAGTAATTGTTCTCAATAATAGGACTATTTTTTGTAGAGCAATTAAAGTAATCTATTTTCTGCAGTTTTTCTTGATATCGTAACAATTATACATAGCGGATAATTACGAATCGAAAAGTGAAATCGGATTAAAAATGAAAACTCGCGCCTCCTGACAGCATACATTTGATGAAATAAAGCACGCCAAACTACAAATTACATCTCTCGCGCGATCGCTCCAAGTGTCTGGTAGCTACCGGCCGGTTGTATACGGGGCTTCCAAAGCGCTCACTTTTTCCTTTTTATTCCGCGTCGCAGTAGTGTGGTTGCTATCAGAGATAGAAGCGCGGCGCCGCGACGCGCCGCATCGAGAGGGGACGACAGGTCGGCCCCGTCCTCTCCCCGAGGGAGCAGCAATTTATAAATAATTGAGCCGAGTCCGGTAAAAAATGAATTACGTGTCCCTGTACAATATGAGGAGTTGCTTTACAGTAAAACGAGGAAGGGACCCGCGAGACCCGTGACATCGTCGTAGACGCGATGCTGTCGCGGGGTCGCGAGGAAGTGACTACCGATGAGGATACAGCGACACCGAAAAAGAAGGAGAGAGAAAGAGACAGATGAGGTAACATAAGCCGCATCAATTTTGCAATTGGAGAATTTTATGTTCGCGCGGGCTCTATACATTATGGACAAGCTTTCGCCGCGACGTCTATCCACCTCGACCGACCGTTTGGTTCTTGAGCTTGCATCTTTTCTCTTTTTTTACACGTGGCTTTCTGGATTAGGGACCGATATTTTTGTCCTTCCCACCTCATTTCATTTAAATATTTGAGGAAACAGCTCGAATGTTGAGTATGTTTCGCGAAATTCGACATTGCAATTTTTATTAATTATAAAAGTGATAGTTGAACGAAGTATATCATGTGCATATGTTGTCTTTCATGATTATTTAATTAGCATTATTATTTAATTATTAATATATGTGCCATTAGTCAATAACCGATCAGCCTTCTTCTGTTAGTAATCATAATGCACTTTTCAGTAATATTTATTAAGTGATACATACATTTAAAAATCGCGCAATTTTTAAAGCTAAATGTCATATGCTTTTATTTTAGCCATTTCTACATTAGTAGGCTATAAGTCGTTTATATTTTTCATTATCATCATTGCACAATTAACACGAATAATGAATTTTTAGTGAGTTTATAATAAACATGCTGTTATAAAAGATAGAGAGAAAAATCTCTACTTCACAAATCGTAGAGAGCATATAAATGATTATTTATATATGATTTTTTATATATGATTTTTATGTTTACGAATTGACGTATGAAATTTTACAGATCTCTCTCTCTCTCTCTCTCTCTCTCTCTCTCTCTCTCTCTCTCTCTCTCTCTCTCTCTTTGGAACCGATTTTTAAAAAGTAGGACTTTGTATTGTCGTCCAACCGGTTTGTGATTATTGGACGATAGGCCAACGTTCGAGTCGTTATACTAAAAATCTAAATAATTATAATATTATTGTCACTGTGCATAAATAAGAAAACGTGCCAGATAAAAGATAAAAGATTTCGCAAAAACTGGCTATTACGTGAAATCAATTTATTTAATGCGCGACATCGATTCAAGCCATGATATATTTGATGTATTCAAAATTTATGAAAGATATTTGGATAAAAAATACACACTCTAAAATTTAAATATATTATAAACATAATTTTTTTATATAAAGTTTTTTATATAATTTTTTTATGTAAATTTTTTATATAATTTTTGTTATAAAAATAATCTCGTTTTGCGTGACTCGTGTTGCGTATTAACTGACGTAAAAACTGACTTTGTATTTTAAAATATAATCTTATAGCCCAGAATATCTTCCTTCGTCGTCCTCGATTGAAATTAAGAAAACAAATATCACGGAAGCGTCGCGAGATAAAAGGAAAAGTAATACGGTGCAATTCGAAAGATAAAGTCGGTAATGCTTTTGGATTTCGCGCAAACATCGTTTTAATCCCCATTTCAACAAAGTCCCAGGCACAGAAAGGACTGGGAAGTTATATCCCTGTAAAGAGAAACAGCGCGAAAGAGGCGTCGGGTAGGGAAAGGAGAGTAGCGAGTTGAATCGAGGCGAGTAATCAGGGAGACATTATTTTCTCTTTGAGACCTCCCGTGTTTTATTACGAAGGAAAACGTATAATCCGCTTGTGCAATTCGGGCGACCGAGCTCGTTCCTGTTTCGTCGTCTTTAGTTCGTCCATCATTCGCAATTGACGTGCTCGATGGAATCCACGGCGCCACGCTCGAACATCGAGCCGAGGGGTGCGCCGATCTTTAGCTTTCCTTCGAATTTATCGACAAGTACAACGAAGAAACGATGAAAGCAGCCGACGTGCAAAATGCTGAAGCGAGAGAATTATTATCTCGCCGTCGATTACATGAAATAAGTTCTTGTATCGATTCTCGGTATGAATGATAGCGAAATTTATTCGACTAATTACGCGATACTAATTGCCGCTTTGCGAATCACCGTAATTCGTGCAGGAACGGTATCTATAGTTTCGAGCTCCGGTTCGAATATCCCTCGAGATCTTTGTCGCGACTGCGAAAAACGTGGAATTCTTATTCCATGGCGTTCCATTATACGCGTCGAAAAAAATATCGCCCCTTCGCTCTTTCTTTCGCGGCCTCGCTCATCGCCCGGAGAATAACATTCGCACTTTACGATTATGCTTGTCTACTTTTTTTTTGTCAAAGAAGCCGGGCTTTCTCGGCATCAACGGCAGATTCACGATCGGCTGTTCCACGCACACACAGGCCTCGATTAAAGTCGACAACGGCCGCTGAGGTACACGCTGAACGACCAGCGAGTTCCGCATAAATCGAGAATTAAATAGACAAGCTTTTCAGGATCTGCATAATCTCGCGAGAGTGTGTTAATCCTGGGCGAGGTATTCTAAACAGCTTGTTGTTATTCGTCGAAGAGACTAAGAAGATGCTCTTTATAGTTCCTTTCATTACACCGTAAACAACATATGCATTTGAGAAATTGTTTTAATATAAAAATTATAAATTATAATATGCAAATTGTAAATATTATATAATATACAGACATTATTTGATAACATGTTATTATTTGTCATTAGCATCTTTGTTTTATTAAGTTACAATGAGAATGTTTTCATATGCAACAATAACATGATGATAAGAAATAAATGTTCAAATGTAATGAATACAAGAAACTGTAGACGTTGCAAATAACGATGGCGCCATGTTATTTTTAATCAAATACATGTTTTGCTTGCGATATTTTTGAAACACCATTTGTGTCACTTTAACGACCACGCGGTGACCGGATGTCGTAATGGACGTACCGACAAAAGCGCGCATCTTGACTTCTTTTTCTTTCTTTCCTCCCTGTCTCGTTTGTCTCTGCAGTTCTATCCACGACATATGATCGTAATGCGTTCTTCGCATATCTTCAATTCGTTGTTATTTTAACTCGCTATCTGCGGATGATCGAGATTCAAACATACGAGCATGTATTATGTGTCATCGAGGTCCGATATTCTTAAAGCACTTGTCGTTGCCAAAAATTTGAGTTATCGATAATAACGGGCGACAGTGACTGGCTACCCGCGTTTCTGAGCACGCGAATGACGCGATATCTTTTTGTCCGCGGAAATAAAAATATTGCAATAAAGATCTCCCTCGCCGTGTCATTTCGGTGCACGTCGTGTTTCGCAAACACGTGTAGCGGCGCATTTTGTTGCATTTCTGCGGTGCGCTTCTTTTCCTCTTCAAAGACACAAACAAGATAGAATGTGGATTATTCCTACGCTTCTCTTTTTCCTGATTTCTCTTTTCACGCGAAACAATTTTAATAATCGCGTAAAAGAGAGAGAGTCAAAGTTACGACCAACAAATCCCGAGAAAAATATCATTTTTCGCTCAAGGTTATACGAATATACCGAGATAACTTGTCTTTGAGGTGTCGTCGCGCCCAAATTACTTTCAATTTAACGCACTCGTCGCTTCGACCTGCTTTTCTTCTCGAAGAAATGGAGGAACGAAATTAGCGGAAGCGCGATGATTCGCATCAGGCATTCGCGATGCGCGTGATTGCGTAATCATCATTGTGCTATTTGCACAAAAACTGCGATAAGATTAAACAGCGTTCTCTCCTACCGTCGAAAATCTCGAGCTAAACCGTGTAACATTTTATCATCGCTTGGGAGATACGCTGATACAAGTTTATTGACAATTGCTAGATGGAACGATGATACTGGCATAGCCAGTACGATACTCGTAGCTGCGCGCTATTTACTTAGCGTTCCGCCATTGGTAGCGGCATGTCAATATCGCGCCGGATGCGACATCCGTATTCGGGAATGGAAATCGATGTTCGAGAAATCTGTAAATTCGCATTATACATCACTGTACGAAAATGTCCGCGATTTAAAGAAACGAGAGTGATCTTGATATTTTATAACATTCGTAAATATTTTTAAAACTTGCAAAGTACGTAATCACAAACGCGGATAATCAAAATACGATAAAATCATCCACCGCGCGCGATCGAATGAAGATCTCGTCGACAATTTTTTTTTGTCCGCAAAATGACAACCATTCGGTGGCTATCCATCAACGATCGTCCAATAAATCGAACCGTGCACGCGAATTTCGCGTTCTCTCGCAGCGGACGGTAATTCAATTCCGTTTACGCAATTTCAAACGGCAGAGCGATCGGCGACTCAACGGGTGTCCCGATTGTTCCCGATCGTTTTCAATATTTCCCCGGCAAATCATAACTCGTCACTTACCTAGGAAAGATCGTTGGAATGATTCTCTCGTCGAACTGGTCATCGCAATGGCGATCGCAATCTTCCGCGCCTGACATCGCGGCAGTTCGCTGGGCTTGTAAATTGATTGTGGTTATATCGCCGTAACTGAAAGTGATCTGCTCGTTAAGTACCATGGGGTCCCAAGAAAGACAGTCTGGAAAGAGAGACGATGACTGGAGAGACGGCGAAATCGCGATCGAGAAAATAACGACGATACCTCCGATGTACGCGATTAATGGCGAAAGCCGCGAGTTTTACTCTCGCCACGTTTCTTGCCTCAAGTCGGTCTTACGCGAGCAATGACGGAACTTGAACGTTGCGTAAGCTCACGGTAACTCGCTTCCGCTTCATCGTGTACAGGAGCAATACAGTACAGATTGCCAGACTGGAAAGCGAATTGTAAAGTAAAAACACGTTTTCCAGAACGTTTCATGCAATGTATAAAATATATGCTTATTACTGCAGTTGTTGATGGATTTTTTGCAATGCATTTTTCATTCATACAATTTTGATTGACCGAACGGTACATCCGTTCATAGTAAAAATTTATTCTCATCATTAAATATCTTTGTCATTAAATGTAAAATTAAATGCATGCTGGCAAAGTTGCTTGAAATTAATTAAGAACTGATACTTTATTTTATCGACTAGTCTATTCTTTTAAAATTTAATTTAAAATACAAAATTTTTAGTTTCATTTCATCATTATATGTTACATCAGACTTTAAACAAAATTCTTCTAATAAATTTTAAATTCAATATGCAATAATTAATAATTATTATTTAATTTTCTTTTCCAGCTTGCATCTTTGCTAATACGCGCTAATTAGTTAAACTATGATTTTTACGTACCTAATCGTTTCCATTCTTAATGACAGATAAGAATCTGAATGTTCGATACACAATGAAAACGCAGAATATCCAACCCACAAAGTACACCTCTAAATAGTACTTCCGCTTAGATCGCACTTTTCGTTGCGTCCTGAAACCTACAACGCGCGGCAAATCATTATTCTCGCTTGATCCTTACGATTGTACGCGAAGGAGTTGAGTCGCGAGCCGAATTTTCCGTTTTCGCGGTGGGAGAGCGCGTACGTATTTCGCCACCCCGTATATATCGCCTGGGAAAATAAATCTTGTGGACACTCACCGGGAGGGAGACTGGACACTGGAGGCTGTCACCGGACACGGGTTGCAACGACTGCAGCATATCGCGTGCGTGAAAGAGAGGACGGCTATCAATGGCTGCATTATACAATACTCGACGATGGTATATACGCCAATACGCGATGACCGGCGCGAGTGTGCGTATGTGTGTGTGTGCGCGCGCGCGCGCGCATCTCGTCAAGTATGTGTGCACATGCACGCTGATATACAAAGTAGTGTAATGCGTGTATATATGTATATATATATAGATATCACCGAACGAGGTGTGTTGTTCACCGCGCGCGGCAGGTATTGCCATCAGGAGAGGTTCTGCGGCGCGCATAACCCGTTCGCGCGCTCGCGAGCGCGAGACGGATGGACGAAAACGGCCGTGAACGACGAAGGGAGATGACACGTTGTGCTCCACCCTGTTCTCGGTTTACTTTTCGACGAGCATTTCGCCGATTAGATATCGCTCTTTTGTAAACATTGTGCTACGAATGGGTTCGATTATTGTATGACATCCTCACCTCTTTCTTTTTCTCTTTCTATGTCTCTGGTATTCTCTTTCTCTCTCTCTCTCTCACATCTTTATCGCCCCCGATACCATCGTATACGTTTCTGTTTTCCCCCCTCCCACCCCTCTTTCCTGTCGCCATCGCAGACCCCCTGCCTTCTTTCTCGCGTCCATTCTACTCTTCTCTCTCTTTTCATTCTTTATTCCGCATCTCTCTTTTGATCTCACTCGACCGGATCGACCTGTTCACGTGTGCACTCGCAATAACTATATCCAGCTTGGGTCTTTCTTTTTTTGTCAGGCAATTCTTGCGCAGCTTGAAAATGGATTGACTTATTGTCCCGGCAAAATCGCGTCCCATCGTTCGTGATTGTCCACGCATGTTTGAATATGTACTTAGCTCGAACATCAAGTCAAGTATATGACGAGTATTTTTCTGTCGCTCATTTATACTGCCACGTGCGCGATTCTACGTAAATTCTATTTATAGTAGTAAATTCTATTTTTCGCCTGAGGTATTAATATTCACACGTTTCGCATTGTCAAACAACGTGCGTATCGCGTACAATTCGATCGATCGCTCGCAAGAGTAATCGTGTAAAGTATAAATCATTTCGATAGCATATCAGTATCCGAAGGTGTACAGTGAAGTGATATATCATAACTATCTTTCTCTCTCTTCCCTATGTCATGACAATTTTTTGTAGATTTTTTCTATCTAATAATTTCATAGAACGGAATAAGATAACCCTAACACTTCAACAGATAAAATGTCAATCCTTTTTGTCTAACGCAAATAAAATTGAGAGGAGAGAAATGTAAGACGCGGAGTCAAATGTTGTAGATTCTATGAGAATCCATTTGATGAGATTGTATCTGAGATTTTTAAAGTTTTAAAGTACTATTATATCATTACGTTAACACGATTTCAATTGAAATACGCTTGTAACAAGCGTTTGTATGCAAGTGCAACAGCTCGATAAGCGAGTACGAACACGCTACGAACATGCTACGCAGAGATGCATCGCTGGGGGAATAAGTTACATCGCCGATAAATCGCATTGGTATATAGTTGGACTCTGTACGCGATGATAGATTTCATAGTTAATGTTAAAGGTCTTTATAGGTTCCCCATTAAGTCACATTGTACACGGTTGGATAGCCACATCCTGAATGAATAAGCACAATAAGCAGGTGTCATTTGTACTTACCGGCTTCGAATCTCCTTCCAGCTGATCGGGTTTACGGCCGTATCGACCCCGTCCACCGTCGTACAATTATGGCGAACATCAGGAAGCGCACCATCCTGCGGACAGAAAAAAAATCTTGGTCAGCTTGATGAATAATGCGAAACGTCATTCCGCGCTGGTTAATCTTCGATAGAATCTCTGGCGCGTAATACATTTCCAATTCTACTTCTCTAATATTCTTACAATTTTTATTACTCGCGCGAGTGATCACAACTTCTTCTCAAATTTCGTTAAACTATTGACTTGACAATAAAATTTATTAACGGTAAAGAATAGTACGCGATAATCGAATATTAAATTTTATAATCATCAAATGAGTTTTACATATCAAAGTAAACTTAGTTATTTTTTTTATTACTATACACGGATCTTTAACATATATATAGTATATGTGTTTGAATAATCGAAGAGCTTAAAGCTCAAGATATGTATTAGCATCTCATTGAATGCAAATCAATCAATCAATTCGTGTTTAACATTATTGTAGAATTGAAATGGATTGGGATTTATTCAAAGTAAAATAAAAAGAATAAGATTCAAAAATATAAAGAAATATACATAGATAATGTAATATACATAGATAATGTACAGTTCTAACAAGAAACAGAATAAAAAAGAATTATAAGTTGCAGATTTTTTTTCGCAAAAGGAAATATAAATAAGTAAATGTAAATGAAGTTTCATCAAGAACAAAACTGATATAAAGAATTTAAGCAATGAATATGTGTTAATGCTTCCCAATCTTAATCTATCCAGTCGCAAGTAAAGAAAGGATAATTAAAGCACCGCAATATCTCTACTGAAATTATAGAAATTTGCATTTTTATAGCAATACTACAATAACTACATTAATTTATGAATTTTCGCAATTATGAGATAATGCGAGTGTATCCTGCATCATAATGGCCTCATAACGCCTTTCATTCCATAATGAGAAAAAACATACATTTTATTAAATGTGCTACCTAGAATTCATTTTTATAAAAGTCAAAAGATCGGCAATCTGCGGTTGGTTACTGACAGGTTACGAAGGATTCTGGAAAAAGACAAAGGACGATGATTCAGAGGTAGGAGGAGAGAAGAACCTGGTAGATGACACGAGATTCCTTCGAACGCAGGTACTACGTCACTGTCTTTTTCTTCTCCGCTTCGCTACTCTCTCTTTCTCTCCCGAACGGCTTCTATGGTTTAATGTTTTCGAGTTGAAACGTCGGCATTCCTACCGCCGCATGGAATCCGACGATGTTAAATGAGTCTTGAGAAAATATAATGTTCACTAAACATTTCTCTCTCCCTTCCATAATTTATAATCATATAAAAAAGTGTTTAAATTTAACAAATGCTTGAAATTATTTTATTAAATATATTGTATAAATAATTGTAATAAAATATATACTTTATTATAATTATTTATACGATTATTATTACGATTATTATTACGATAATTATTACAATTATTATTATTATTTATTAATTGTACACATATATCATAGATAGTGGCAAAATAAAGCATTTTATAATTTGTGATTCATTATAAAAATACCATTGCAATTCTTAATACCAAATATTAAAGAAAATGACATCAAAAAGGGTTTCGTCAGATATTTATTAAATGATCATCACGCGGTTATATCTTAAAACCTTCAAATTGCTAGTCATAATCGATTTTTTATCAATTTAAAATAATTGAATAATACCTATCATATTAATTAAATTTGAAAGGTAGATCTATCAAATTTTTTGCAAACTAAAAATATCTGATTTTATAATGCGTATAAAAACGTTAAAAATATTTCATCACGCGATTCGATGAACGGAAGCTGTTAACTTTTAACCGCTCTTTTCTCGAAAATAGGTAGACCCGTATCATTTCTCATTCCGAAAGATAGGCAGGTAGCTCCCGCTCTATTAATAGACCGGCTGATCAGTTCGCAAGCGCGTCGATGTGGTTTACCTGTGACACGTGGGCGTTACCGAATAAGTAAGCAGCTGTAAAGTCGTTAAGTAGCCACTTTGGACTTTAGAATCAGGAGGTGATGGATCATTAGCCCTAAGGATCTTTCCGTAACCTACGATCTCTGTCGAACCAATACTGGTTACATGCTTCGAAAGGATACCATCATGAAGCGTGTAATCGTCCAACTGAGTTTCAATCATCCGTGAAATAAAAACAACACTCGCGCAATCGTGACGTTGCTAAATCGTAATACAAATTAATTTTCTTTAAAAGTCAGATAAACTACAATCCATTGATGCAGGTTTACCTAACAATAAAACTTTACGTTTCATGATTTTTCAATGATTATAAAATTTTTCTTTTTATATTCTTTATATATTCTTTATATCGTGACAAATTAAAGAAACGTAAAATACGTCTGACAAATTAAATGAAAAGAAATATGCACCAAAAAGATTAAAATATGTATGAAAATATGTAGAAAATATGTAGAAAATATGTAGAAAAATATGTATGATAATCGGCGAATAATAAGAATAACGATAAGAATAAGTGATCGAACTATGTTAATATCATACTAATAAATTCGCAAGCGTGGAAGTCACACAGCCGCAGGCGCACTACAGTTTCTAGGCAGTGAGGAGCCATAAAGACGCTAAATAACTACTTTCGACCCGTTAAGAAAGTGGTACTGAAGCATCGGCCTGCGAGAGGGAAAAGATTGCAGTCAATGACATACGGTACGTTCCGAGAGTGTATATAAAATCAGTTTGGATTACGCGAAAACGGATGGATATAAACGCACAGAAGGCATAAAAGTTTGCGATGTTTTGGCGAGTGTTTTGCAATAATGAAGATTCGACATATCGAGAGAGAAGACGTTATCATGAATACATAAATATCCCGCAGTTTATTTCCCGCCGTGTTAAAAACGCAAAGCAACAAATTATGTATCTATACCACGATATAAAATCTTTTTAAATTATAACTTTTAATTCTTACATAGTTTTTAAAAATATTTTTACATGTATAATGTCCATCCCACATCGGCTTTAATATCTAGAAGCATATATTATAATTACTTACAATGGCAATTAGTATATGTAAGTAAATTGTATTTTTATATACGCAACACACGCGCCTGCACATTATAAAATTTTTAATAATAATAAGCAGTAAAAAGAAGAGACATTATGAAGCATCTTTCTCTCTTCTTCGTTAAAAAGATATCGCTTTTATTTTTAATTTTCACGATTATATATTTATTATGGATTCGAACAGTTATAATAATTTACAGTGAAGATTATACTTTATCATGATTTTTATTTACTTTATCATGATTTTATCAATATTATTAGACATTATCAAGCATCTTTCTCACTTCATCGTTAAAAAGATATCGCTTTTATTTTTAATTTTCACGATTATATATTTATTATGGATTCGAACAATTATAATAATTTACAGTGGAGATTATTTGACTTTATCATGATTTTGTCAATATCTTTAGATTGGACGCAGAAAGAATATGGTTTTTAATGAAAACAGAAAGAGCGAAACATTGCATAGATTTATAATACATAAAATAAAAAAAAGACTATGTTAATTTCAGGTGTATTTATAAAATAATTAACATTAAGATAAAAAAGAGATAAAAGAGAATAAAAAAGAATTTAATACTGGATTAAATAATGTATAGTAAAGAGATGTAGAAATCGCTTGACGTCAAATGTATCGTAAAAATGTATGTGTAAATGTGTAAGATAAAATGTATTTTATAAATATCGTAAAGATAGATAAAATGTGTTTTATAAATAGCTCATTAGAAAGTAAAAAGATTCTAACAATCAATATCTACGGATAAATGCTAAATGGTTGATCAATATCGTTACAATCGATACAAAAGATACAAGATTGTATCGTGTATGTTACATGAAAAAAGTAAACAAGTTGGAACAGACATGAAGTTCCCGAAAAAGGTAAGATATCGCAGTAACATGCTAATAATGCGTGGGCGCGTATTCTGGAAATAAGGAAGCATGCGATATAAAGGATGGGTAACTTTTGGATACAGTTGCGAGAAACAAATACTTGAAACTGCCGAATGCAAAAATATAATGAAATTATTTTTGCATCGCGAATATTTTACTTTTATATTTTAAAATTTTTAAATATGTTAAAGATTTATATATATTATTCCGATATATATTTGTATATTGTTGTTATCAAAATTTTTATAACAACAATAAAACATAAGAATGTTGTAAACATAAGAATTTACTTATTGTAAGTATTAATTATCATTATAAATCATTGTATGAGTAATACAATATCTTCATCCAGATATTAAACTCGAATTATGATAAACATTATACATACTTATATGTTAAAATATATTTTGGAAAATTGTATAAAAATTAAAAGACAAGTTCAGAAAGATAAAATGAGTCTTGATTGATTATAAATAGTGTAGCTTCAAAATCCATGAACGAGATCAAGCGGCGAGATCCGCATTTGAATTCGATACTGATTACGGTAAAGATTTATATGTATTATTCTGATATATATTTGTATATTATTGTTATCAAAATTTTTATAATGTTGTAAACATAAGAATTTACTTATTGTAAGTATTAATTATCATTATAAATCATTGTAATACCTGTAATATCTTCATCCAGATATTAAACTCGAATTGTGATAAACATTATACATATTTATATGTTAAAATATATTTTGGACAATTGTATAAAAATTAAAAGACATGTTCAGAAGGATAACATGAGTCTTGATTTATTATAAATAGTGTAGCTTCAGAATCCATCGATCAAGCGACGAGATCCGTATTTGAGTTCGATACTGATTACGGTAAACTTGTGACAAGTCATGAGTAACCAGAATGGCATGTCAAAGATTCAAAGAAGCGATCGCGGGAGAACTCGCGGGAATCGGCACAGGGGAGCCGTAAATGTATGCGATCGGTCAGGTAGAGAAGCCCGGTAGGACGAACGAGGTTTGCCGGTTGGAAGAGGCGAGTCCGAACCGCTGGAAGGATGCTGGAGAGGCCGAGTGGTGGCGGCACGGCCGGTGTGGTCAGGT